AATTGTTTTTCGAACGCGCGACTGGGAGATTTTTGCAAAGAAGAGCGATGTAAAAATTAACGAGAGCGGTTTGCTCTTTTCTTTACGAATAAATTTTTTTCACCGATGAAATTTTAATCGCCTGTTGTTAATTAGTAGTAAGTTTTCGGATTGTAAACGCGAATTAGAAAATCGCGGTTTGATCTAGTTTGAACACCCCGTACATGTACGTTCGCTCGCATCTCTATAATTGCTCGCGCCGAGACGAGACGTATTTACCCACAGTTCGTTTCGTCCTCGATTTCTTTTTGACGAGACGACAAATGCGGCCCGTTAACCCCGCGACCGTCCATGCCATAATATTATCGAAGAAGCCAATGTACAATCATATTGTGGACGACACAATATTACATTCTGGGCCACGCTCTTCTCTCTTGACCCGTGGCGATCGACGCGCGCTGTTGTGTCGTACGAACATTATAAAAGTTTCTTTCTCAAAGACGAGGCTCGTTGACGGGAGCGATGCGCGAAAGTGAGAAACAGATATAGGAGAATAACACTTGATCTCGATGTGCGGCGACTTTTTTTAACGCAGCATTCTAAACAGATCATTAAATTTCTAAGTTGCACGATAAATTAACGCGCACTTTTTTTTATAGAAAAAAATTATATCCCTATACAGAAATTTTTTTATGGTGTCGCCAAAATAATACGATTTTGAGCGACACATTTCTGCGAGAGACTGCGACAAAAATCGTAAAGAGTCAACATATTCTAAATTACTTTATACTAAAAAAAAAAAAAGACACTAACGCGCCGTATCGCATGTGAAGATAATCAGACAACGGACACAATTTGATGACTTCACATCGTCAACATTGTTCTTCGTCATCCCACATGTTCCCGCTCTTTCTGAACTCGGGAGAGCGAAGGATTCCCTCGCCCGATTCTCTCTCTATCTCTCTTTTTCACTTCACGTTAGAAGATGCTTATTAAATTGTGTCATCCACGAATAAGGGCTAACGCGCTGCATCCAATTTGTGCCGCTTAATTAATTCTCTCCAATTTATTCCCCGAGACCGGCCAATAAAGAAACCGGGACCCGCGCCGCTCGCCGGTCAACGAGCGCCGCCGATGCCACCGCAATATTGTCCCTAATAAAATCTTCGTTAATCGCGCAAGAGAGAGAGAGAGAGACTTCGTCCGCCATGAGTTTTCCGACCGTTACTTGCGACGTCAATTGCGACAGCTCCACGAATTTCTTGAGCGCGCGCTCTCTTGCCGCTCCGCGCGTTGCACGCGATGTATATTACATCGCTTCGTGTATTGATATAAATCGTTCGCTGTTTTTTTTTCTTTCGCGAGAAAAACGAGAATTAGATAATTGCGTGGAAACGCAAGAGACATTCTCACACACAGACACGCTGCAATTTGATCTTTGATGGAATTACGCGATGTCTTGTTTTAAAGTAAAGGAAAAAGATACGCAACAGCCGGCTCTCTTTGGCTTTTTAACATATTATCAAACTACTTCTGTTTTCAATCACACACGGAAGAAATAAGACCGACAAGAAGAGCTATAAAACGCTTGATGTGTGTGATAAAATATTTTCTTTTGACGTGTTAATTAACACAAGTTACAAATCGCGATCGAAACTCCAAATTAGATGCTTAACCATCTCGTGTGTCGAGACAATCTCGTTTTTCTCTCCTGTAAAATTTTTTTAAACTGCGAAAAAAACACCTCGGTCAGAAGTCGAGCCCGCATTCCGTGCGTAGTCGCTTTTTTTTTTTTTATCAATTCGTTCATCAAAAAACACCAACTAAATTTCTCACAATGTTCAAGTAAAATCCTATTATTTCAATTTTACTCTCGTGTAGTTGAACACTAAAGAAAAATCTTGTAAACAACAATTCACAAACTTCTGTTTATTCTACATCAATAAACCATAAAAAAGATCAGATAATTAAATAAGAGAGCGATAATTCTATTGGAACTTGTGGATTCGATCATCCTTATCGCGCGAACGTGTCCGCCACGTCAAAAGTTTGCGTCAACATAGATGCAAGCAAGCGATCGCATCGAAAAGGACGGGGGAGGGGCGCGACGGAAAGCTAATTACAAAATTATCGCTTTTAATTGCGATTCCTGCTATTTGCGCAATGGCGTGGCGGTGCAAGCGTGCGATTGTCGTCGCGTGCCAAATTATTGGATGTTGACGTCACCGACCGTTGCCGGCGAGAGCCCCGATGCGGCACCGCTTTGCTCGTAATTGCCGGCACCAATTATGCAATTAGCGCCGCGCTCTAATGAGCGCGCAGTGTTATACGCGCGGAATCTAAACACCCGGCCACCCGATACGATACGCATTGTTCGCGCGTGTTTGAATGTCTTTATTCGCCTCTCTAAGCGCAATAATACACGCCCCTATCCGGTTTAACTTTCATTAGCGTATTATAGCGGGGTATATCTCTCGAACGCGCAACTGTGACTCGATTCCGTTTTAAATTGTTGCTCTCTCTCTCTCTCTCTCGTTTACAGAATTTGTGACTTGCGAGTATTCGCAGAGGCATTGTTTTTCTGTAACTTTTGTAGCAGCTTTGGGATTTGAAAAAATTAATTTCGAAAAATAAATAAATTTTTTTTATAAGAGATAAAATTCTGTGTGTGTGTATTGTTAAGAAATTAGTGAGTTTACACATTTGTAATTTGAATTCGAATACCTTTCGCATTCCGTCTCAATTGCGGGCTCGATGAACGCAAGGAGTGTAACGATCGTGTGTAACAAATCCGACGACGTGTGCCAACGTGTAAACACACTCGAAGCCGCAATCCCTTCGTTCTCGCACGCAGTGGGGCGCCGCCGTCGGGATGATCGCACAATAAAACACTGGCATAATATTTCGCCCGGCTGGTTGAACACCGCAAATACACTTCAGGACCACATGCCGGCTCTATTTTGCGAAGGGTGAGACATGACCGAGGAGAAAGAGGAGGGGAGGGAGAGACAAGAGCAAAAGCGATGCGTATATGCTGGTGCGCGAGGGTGGGAACGTCGAGCAGCCCCCGCGGGGGACACCCGCGGGCCCCCTTCGCGGATTAGCCTCGCTACATTTCGTCCCTTCTGTCGGTACGTATGTCCCGTCATTATGCGTCTAACTCTCTGCAAACGCAAAACCAATAGCACCATCACCCACGACGACGGACGGAATTTAGGGGAACCGGTGTATAGATGAATAGATCGCGACTGTTTCGTCGAATTATTGATCGCGATAAATTGGCTATTCGTCTCTGTGATTAATCGGATGTTTGACAGGTCGTTGTCGAAGTGCGCGCGGTTTATTTTTTTTTTTTTAACACTTGTTTTAATTTTCTGACAATCGCACGAATTTCTGAGAAAAAGTAACACATTTGTTTTTTCTCTCTCTCTCTCTCTCATTTATTTCTGTCTGTCTTTCTCTCTGGCTTCCAAAAACTACATTTTTTATAAAAATATATTTAATATGCGAATACGGCAAAAAATTTAAACCGACATTGTATGTAACATATTTTATACTTTTCGCATGACATTTTAATTTGGAGCAAAACAAAACGACCATAAATAATAAACAAATTTTTTTTTACGACAACAGCCGAACCGTCGCTTAATTTAATTGATTTTGAATGATTGCATTAAAAGAGTGTGTGTGTGTGTGCGTGTGTGTGTGTGTGCGCGCGCGCTTTTTTTGAAAGTCTACCGGCGGACAACGTAACGCGATTTACTATCACGTTAAAAGCATATTCCGTAAAAGTACGTTTAAGCGTGTGCGCGAGAAAAGGGCCGAACTATAGCCGACGCGTCGTTTTCGCCGGAGGTCAGACGGCCGAAACGAGAATTGCTCGAATTTTGTTAAGTTTGGCAGCAATTACTTTTGATACCCGACACGCGGGCGTAATTGCGTTGGGCCAAGCAGAACGACGGGAGAGGGGTAATAATTCGCTAATATCAATTTCAAATTTCAATTAGTATCATCTCTCTCGACGTCCGCCTCTGCGCTACTCCAGCGCTCTCTCTCTCTCTCTCTCTCTTTCTCTCTTTCTCTCTCTGTCCCTCTCTATTCGCGGACCCCACAGGAACACGCCATGATCTAAAATTCAATTTGTCCCTTCGTACCGGAGAGCCGCAAAGAGAGGAGGAGTGAGAGAGAGAGAAAACGAGATATATATCTACATGTATACACATATATAGTGTGCGGCAGATAGGGGGGGGAGGGGGAGACGTCGTGATGGAGCGAGAGCGAGATAAACAGCCACATAGAAATAAGGGGGGCGACGAGATCGGGAACGGACGGCGGGTTGCAAGAGAGGGTGAAGAGAGGGGGAGGGTCCGGGTATAGTTAGTGTACACCGCCGGTTCTCTAAAGCCACTCGCGTGCACGCCGTTATATAACGAGAGAGAAACGGTGGGCGACGGCGACGGCAGGTCCCGTAGGCACGCGCATGCGCGACATGCCGACCCATTATAAATTGATAACTCCGCCGTTTATTAAGTTCCACGACCGATGCCTGCTTAGGCAAAGAGCCCTCTACGCGCCGCGCCGCGCCGCTCCCTCGCTCGTTCTATCTCACCCCCGCGCGCGCAGCTACTCTCACGCCGATACATACATTATTTATTTACGCGAGTTTACAATCCCTCTAATGGGGATTGGCGTAATCGGCCACCCATCCGCTCCTCTCGGCCCCGCTCCCGCCACCCGGCTTCGCTGCAGCACGCCGCTGTCGCGCTCCCTCTTAATCATGTTTCACCCCGCTTTCGAAAATCCGCGCGTCGCCCGGTGAAATCGGAAGTAGCTTCGGTTGTGCCGTTCCGCTTGTGCCGAGGAGACCCATCGCGATACTCTCTCCCCAGCGGCAGCGGCGGCTTCAAAAAAAAAATCTGACTTGATGAAGGGGTGGACATGACATAAGGCGATTACCGGCGCATCTATTATTTAATTTCGTAAGACCGAGTTCGCCGATATAATTCTCTGCCAATCATAACATGATCAAAGTACCCTCGTAATACACAAGCTCTAAATATTTTCCATTTCTCGTTGTATGTAATAATAAATTCTCGGAAGTTTTTAGTAAATTAAATCGAAGCGAAAAAAAGAGACTCTCTCTCTCTCTCTTTCTCTCTCTACGACAGACTCTCGCCTATTTTTACGCCGTTCTAAAATGATTATTTTATAACGCAAAATCCCCCAATTGGGCGAAAAACTCGCACCCTCCGACCGTACCGGTAACCTTTTATCCTTTTTTTTTTTTTTTACCACGCAAGAGAGATGATGAAATCAAACTGGTACACGCGTGTGATTGCAGATTGGCGCGGTCCACGCCCACCAGCCGAACAATAACCACCACCAGCACCATCAGCAGCAACAGCAGCAACAGCAGCAACAGCCGTCGAGTCAACCGCAGGTGGCGGGTGCTGGCGCGGGAGGGGCCGGCGGGCCGGGGGGCGGCCAGGCGGCGGTGGCCAGGGCCGGAGGCATGTTCTGCTACCACTGCCCCCCGGGCCTCCCGGCGCCGCGATTACCGCCGTCCCTTGAGTATCCTTTCGCCCCGACTCACCCCTGTAAGTAAAAATTCGATTCTTCCTCCCGCGGGCGGCCGCGCGCGCGCGCGCGCACGCACGTAACGATATTTCTTACCTCGCGATTCTCTCGTCGATCCCCGTCGGGACTTTTGATCAACGTCTTGATCGACGAAAGGCCGTACCATGCAAAATCGCTCGATTCGCTATAAAACGTTATGAGAAAGATTCGTGGAATTTTATGCGCGCGCAGTTAAATTTATGCCGAGCCCGAGACGAAGAGAGACGAAGTAACGGATGCTCTGTTGTGTATCGGAAAAATCAAGTGAAAAACTCAGACGGAAACTTGAATAGAAAAATAGATAGCGCGCATGAACACGCGTATAAATCGAATTGTTCGCAAACGACCTCTGTGTCTTATTCGCAACTTTTTCAATTTCGAACTCGCACACATTCTTCAAACAATCGGGGAAAGTTTCATAATTTTCATAAGAAACAATAACGAGACAAGCGAAAAGAGAAGAAAAAGAAGAAGAAGAAACGACGTGAGGAGAAAGAAGAATGATCGAGACACCGGGTACATATGGGGGGAGGGAAAAAGAGGAGAGGGAGAGGACTGATTGTGCCGGCACTTGCTCTAGCGGAACACATCGATGAAGTTACATTACCGACTAGACCGAGTTACGCAAAGTGGACGCTACAAACTGGACGGCCGCTAAACTTAATTTGCACTTCGAGCCAACTTCCAGTTAAACCGCGTCCCGCCAGCAGCCGAGCCGAGTCACTACCCAGAACTTTGACGGCAGTTTGCCTATTCGCCGATCGTTTTCCAAGTCCCGTCCCATTCCCGCTGACGAATTTCAACCCGACGCAATCTGTCAAACCGCGATAATCAGCCTGTCCTTCTAACGCGTGTAATTAACGCCAATTTGTCAATTGATGATAATCTCGTCTAGAACGTTGAATACCAATAAAAACATCAAAATTATTTTTACTTAGCATTTCTTATTCGGAAAGAAAAAAATTAATCTGTAATTTTTCAAGAAAATTTAATTTTAAAAAATGTCGCAAAACATAAACCCGCGAAATGACGCTACTGAGTCCGTTGAACTCCAAAATTTGCGGTGAAATCAACAACGTGGGAAGCGTAATGTCTCCCGCACGCTATTCTTTATATTCTCTTTGAACACGTAATTCTTTAAAACAACATCTACACACACACACACACACATATACAGAGGCTCATAAATGTGGGAAGCTGCGATCTCGCTCTCCGGTAGATAATCGAACAGAGCATAGAGGTGGATGTGCGCGGGGGCGGACGACCGGGTGTCCTCAGGGACGTCCGGGCACCCTTCCAGTTCCCGATTGGCCCCCTCTCCCCCGGTCTGTCTTCCCCGTCGGCTCGTACCTCTTTCTCTCACTCCGTCTCTCTTTCTCGCTCTGGTCTCCTCTACCCCCCTCCGTTGGGATAAACAGATTAGGTAACTACGTGATAAGTCGGTAAGTGGGTTCACTCGGCCCACGGTCCAGACCCACCGACATTCGCTCTAACATCTAACTACCTCGTTAGTGTCATTAGTAACGGTCGGGGTGTCATTAGATTTCGTTCTCTACGTGTAGTTTTTCCACGGGTTCGCCACGTCCCTCCCCTCGCCTCGGGCCTTCGAGAGAGCGACCTGCAGTCCGTTGCAAGTGCAACGGATACGGACGATCATGACGGATCGTCACGCGCGTTTAGAATAATTTTTGAATTGTTCTCACACACCGGTGATACGAGCGTGTAAAAAAAAAACGTAAACTTAATGTACTCTATCGTGGAACTAAAATTCGAATTACATTTTACGTCGATGATTAATTTCAATAATTAATTTTGACAATTAAGTTTTTGTTTTCGCAAAGACAAAAAGAGATTCATTCGGAAAATTATGTTATTTCTACGGGACCTGTCGAATGCTCTTTTTTTTTTTTTTTTTTTGTATTTTAATTCTTTGAAGAAACTAATTGATAAGAGATCTATAATTTTTCACGAAGAATTAATCACTCGTCTCCTCTCCTTGTGTTTTTTTTTTTTTTCCCGATGGACAGACAAAACGTCGACGATCAAGCGTGTTGTGAAAAAGAAGTCGTCCGTGCGTAGTGCAAAAGTCGCGAATCTCTTTCTTTCTTCTCCGTACTCGGGGTACTGCTAATAAATTGGATCAGACCGACTCCCGATGAGTTGTACGAGTTGTCTGGATTCGGGCTTTACTTCGGCCCGACGCTAATCTAAGATCTTGAGTGGATTTCAGTTTGGGGCACCGGCAAATTTATTTAGCCGCCGCGGTCGTCGCTCGATTCGCTTCTCCGTCTTCGTTTTCTCCGCGGTCGCAGCAACTACGATGCTTATATATCGATAATATATCTTACGTAAAGAAACTGTAACAAAATCCTTGCGAATTACAGCGCATTCACGAGATAACTATGTTGTTATCGCGCTGGCGTTTTTTTAGTTTGTTTCATCAATTCGTTTTGCAATGTATTAAAATGACATCTTTTGCTTAAAAGCAAATTTTTGTTTCTCAAAAGATTTGAGGACCTCAAATCGCGCAGGAACAATGCAAAGGAACTCTCATATCGGCAGAATGATAACGCGACGAGATAATATAACACACGCGCGTACACAACGTGAAAACGGTTTTCTAAGTGCATCCGCGTGTATACCGCAATAGAATATCAGAGATCCGAAACCCCATCGCTTATTTTCGCGTGCGGCTTAGAGCGAAAATCCTCGCGAATCCTCGTTGATATTAATTTTGCAAACGATACGGGAGATCGTGGCGACCGTAGCGTATAATTGCTCGTCCGTGATAGTTACGAAAGTTCAGCGACATCGAGAGAAACGAAGTGTGTGTATCTCGATGCGACCGTGCGGGGTGCAACTATGTGGGTGAATCGGCTGCACTGTTGATGGCGCAACACCGTTGCCGTGCGCGTTCGCCGTTATCCCTATCTCGCTTTCCCTCCATCGCCTGTCGAGAGGATAAAAACAGGGAGGAAGGATAAAAGAGAAAGAGAAAGAGAACGGTAAAAGAGAGCGATAGGAAAGAGAAAGAATCATTGTGCGAGGGGAACAGAAAGAGAGAGACAGTTCCGCACGGCAGAGAGAGAGTGGCATGAATTTTTATGAGCTTAGGAAATTAATTTGTGTTTTTCGCTAAGCTCCGGCTTAGCGCCGCGGTAATTAATTGCGCTGATTGCTCTGCATCATTGATGAGCGGTTCCGGCCGCTCCGGCGTAACGTCTGCGCCCATCTCGCGTTTCGTTGTACGCGCGCGTATCCGGCTCCGATACCTTTCTATTGGCTTCATTTTTTTTCATGCGTCATTCATGTCCACGAACTATAACCAATCGCGATTTTTTCTCATTATTTTGCACTGACACAGCTTGTGCGTAATTGGATAATCGCGGAACAGAGAATTAAGATTAAATTATAAATTCAAAATAGATAAGAGTGTGTGCGAGTATCGAAATTTATAAACGATGCAGCGATTCTTCTTATGTACATTGACAATATATTCACGCGTATTGTTCACGCGAAGGAAATAAGAATTTTATTATAAGAAAGAGCGAGAGAGAGAGAGAGAGAAATTACGTCGATCGAGTTTATTTTGCGGCAACGCGCCATATATAAATTGGAAAATTTCGCGAGATTGTCAGTAATTCGCAAGTTTCCCGAAGTTATCGAGTTTCTCCAAGCCCCAGTCAAGTACAGTCAAATATGCGGAGTACCAGAAGTTAGTTTCGCCGAAACTTGGCAAATTTGAATCTATCGGGAATTAAGAAGCGAAACTATGTCCTGCCGTAACTGTCGAACTGAAATTCGTTTTGAAAGAAAATATTTTTGAATAATTACGAGATATTACAGATGTGCGTGTGTTAATGTTGATTTTTATTGCAAATTTAATTTAAACAATTAACGACAACATTTCTGTCTCTCTCTCTCTCTCTCTCTCTCTCTCTTTCAATGATTGTCAATTTTTTCTCAATGACTCTTGTAATACTTTTTAAATCAATCAGTCATTTTTTTGAAAAACACGGTCTCATTGTTCATTTGCTCCCCTCCTCGGCTTCGTTACAGACACCAGTTATTCCGCCTATCATCCGGCACTGCACGGAGTCGGCGAGGATTCCTTCGTGAGGAGGAAACAGCGGCGGAATAGGACAACTTTCACCCTCCAGCAACTGGAGGAACTCGAGTCTGCTTTCGCGCAAACTCACTACCCGGATGTCTTCACGAGGGAGGATCTGGCGATGAAAATAAATCTCACTGAGGCCAGAGTACAAGTGAGTATAAAATAACGAGAATTGTTGTTTAATATCATAACTGCGTAAGAAACAATATAAGTGTTTGTTATTATTATTATTATTATTTATTATTTTTTTTTTTCATTCAAAACCGCACGCGCAAGAATTCTCGTAAAATAACTTCCGACAACACTTGTAATCCAATTAGAGCGCAAAAAGATCAGAAAGGGAGATAAATAAATTTTGCGATAGAAGTGTATACGTTATGTAACCTATTATGTTTAAGGATATAAGTAAAAGTGTACTTGAAAGTATGCTAATCACGTTGTATAATCACGTTTATTCGATAACGTGAAAAGCACGTGCATTAAAACTTCACAGAATGTTTCCATGCTCGCGTCCGAGCAGCATTGGCAGCAGCCGGCTTAATCTTTTAATGCGTCTCAGCGCATTGAGATTGGATTCCGCGTTTTAATGCGATGAGAAAATTACGCGCGGCAACTCGGTAATATTTTTTTTTTTTTTTTGTTTTTTTTTGTCCGCCTTCGTAAGCGTTAAGTAGAGAAATTCCGAGAATACATTTTTCACTACGTGCGCGCGCACAATATTTCACACAGCGGGACGTATACACAATAGAAGTGTGTGTTTACGCAATTAGGATCCATTAGTATTCAAATAATTATTTCGCGAATAATTCATGAAAAAACCGGAAACTCAAAGAGCAAAATTTCAACAAATTTTTTTCTCAATCTTTGTCCCTTTTTTCTACACTGGTCACTCTACAAATTTGTCGTATTTATAATTTAAAATTACGCGTTACATTTTATTCAGAATGTCGAGCTCGTGATACAGAGTGAGCGAAAATGATTTAAGAGAAAATAAAATATTCAATTGATTTAAGAGGAATAAACATTTTCGTTGCTGTTTTAAACAAATAATTGAATGAGAAAAAAATCGGTAAAAGATTGCGCGATGATCGATTGTCCGGCTGCACGGTGGCGTTGCCGCAAGAGCGTTGTGTACAGAGGGGTGAACCAGGCGAGCGGCGTGGCCCCCGCACCCCCAAGGGGCGCGCTGACACCCTCGACCTGACGTAATCTTCTGACAGAGTAAGCCGGTAATCTCCGGGATTACTTTGTACTCCTGGCTACGTCCTCATGGTCATATTTACTCACGCCGCTGTAATTCGCGCTGAGAATCCCTGCGCAGTAACGGCGATTCCCGCCTAAAATCCTGTCGGAACATCTGCAGAGGATATCTGATTACCAATGGTGGCTTTTGATTTCTCTGCAGACGTCGACGCGCATCTCCGTCCAATTTCAACAGAATATTCCTTTGACGAAGAGTTCGAGAAAGAGTAACTCTGAAGTTTTCGAAATTTCAATTAAACGATGATTAAAAGTCAACAATATATAATCGAAATTCATTATATTTTGTCTCTCAAAAATTTTCCGTTTTCGAATGGTAAGATGAAATTGCAAATAAATAAAGAGTCACGACACTTCGTTCTCTCGTCGTTAATATCCCTGACTCGCGAAGGATCCTCGATCACAGAGAGAATCTAAGAGGCAGCCTGGCGTGCATTGTGCGGATTACGAAGCCGAGGAGGCTACAATCTCTCTCCACGCGAGAGAGACGTATGGTACGTGTATACACAACGATGAAAGAGAGACAGAAGGGAGGCGGCGAAGACACACACGGGGAAGGGGGTCTGGCAGTGACGCAATTACGGCGCAGACTCATTGTTTCATTAGCGAAGACAAAGGGAATCTGGAATAATGGACAAATAGGCGCGTTTATGTAGCGCCCGTCCTCTTCTCCGGGCTCCAATTAGAACCTCCTAGAGGGGGACAGGCGGGGGCGGACGGCGGGGGTTGAAGGAGGGTCCGTCGTACCGCCGAGGCACGTACGGTACGTCGTCTCGTCACACGGCGAGCGTATATTTCCTCGATCGCTCGTGTATGCGCGCGCGCGTGTGTGTGTCTGTACATGCTCATTACACATTTGCAAGGCGGCAATTAGACAGCGTGCGTGAATTAGACGCGTCGCACCGCGTCAAACGCCGCTCGCACCCGCGTTCGCGCGCTGGAGCGAGAAAATGTTGGGAGGCGCTAACGTTGCTTTTAATTTCGATTTTGCGTGATCGGATTTCTTTCACATCGTTTATCTTTATTTATGCCAGGTGGTTTCGAATCCGCGGAATACGACGTAACGCGGAGAAGATAGATAGAATTTCTCGAGAACGCAGTATCGCGGTAATTTTTTTTTTCTTTTTATCCAAGCAATTAACGAAGCTACATTGTTTGACGCGAGAAAACTCCTGGTTCGGAGAAAAAAGAATTTTTTTGTTGTTGTTGTAAATATATTAACAAAATCCACGTTTGCATAAACATGGCCTGTTGAAAAACGCGAATTAATCGCTAGTTATCGCTTTCACTGTAAAAAGCGCATCGCGCGGTGGTTAATCCCGCGATGCGGAGCGATACATCCCGTTTACCTATCAAGAGGCGCGGACGATTAAAAACGTTTTTGTAATCGCCCGCGATGACGAGATCGAGTTGCGCGCCATTATCAACGACTTTCGGATTAAATTCGTATATTGGAAAAAAAAAAAAAAAAAAATTGAGAAGAGGAGAGAGAACACGTCTCTCACGCGAGAGTGGAAAGGAGAATGACGGCGGTCCCTACGGAACCGCGGCTTTGTTCCCAGCTATTACTCGCCCCCCCCTCTGTAACCCTTAGGATATTATTATATCTCACTGTCTGCCAGAGACTTCACCTCGCTACGTTTAGAGACGTACCGTCGTATTTATTTTATTAAACCATTTTCCGAGTTTCCTCCCGCGAAATTTCCGCGCTCGAACGTAAAATAATCATTTTCCAGACCCATTACGCGAGAGAAAGAGAGAGAGAGAGAGAGAGAGAGAGTGAGAGAAAGGGAGAGAAAAAGAGGGTACCAATCCCATTTCAGCCACCCGTTCGTTAAAGAGTTTCTTGCAAAATAAGTTCATAATTCAATTCCTCCGAGATTTTCTTTTCAATTTTTCTTGCGAATTAATTTGTGCAAAAAATTATTTTAACAAAAAACTGTAAGTAACGCTCTCGCGTTGCTAGTAACGTTTTTTTTTTTTTTTTTTTTTTTTATTGTGTATTAAATTGAGGCATTTCGCGTGGGAGGAATTGGTCCGTGCGAGAACTCGATTATCAACGTACTATCCGTCGTCGGGACGAAAGTCGGGGTCGTCGGAGAACCGCTGGTAATAAAGTCTATTTCAGCCGGTATTATGTCAAGTTAGCCTCGTTAGCGGAGAACTCGAGCTTTTTAAAAAACACTCGGCCGCTGTGGTTGCTGTCGGCTCGTTGAACATGCACGGCGGAAAGTGCCCCCGGTGGCCCCCAACACACCCGCCGGTCCGCCGCACCTACCACCCTCTCGTGCTTTCCTCTGACTCAGGAATGCCACCCCCGCGCATGCAATTACCCTTGCACATTTGCAGATGTTGCGGACGTGGCGCAACGTAGGTACGAGACGGTAGTCTCATTTTTCTCATCTCCTTCTGCCTCTCGTCGTTCCCATGTGTCTGTGTGTGTGTGTGTGTGTGTGTGACTTTTCCAAGACTCACCCTTCCAATTCTCGCGCGCGCAGCACAGTCAGATGACTGAGATGTTGAGAATTGAATCAGAGAATTATGCAAACTTCCCCGCGCGTAGTAGCTTTTGAGAAGTTTAATCTCCCTGAAGGCACGTATCGCGCGATATACACTCTATATTCATACGTATTTTCCGACATTTATATATACGAATTAAAATAACGCGTTATATATATATATATATATATATATATATATACGAAGTTCTTTTTCATTTCGACGAGGAAGTTTCTCAATCTGCTTTTTGAGAAAACTTATAATTTGAAACGAAAACTATTTCGCGTCAAACTAATGGTTTACCATCGATCTTACAATATATTTTTAATATCACGACTGTTTTACTTTCTAGGTATGGTTCCAAAACCGTCGAGCGAAATGGCGTAAGAGCGAGCGGCTGAAGGAGGAGCAACGCAAACGTGAGGGCGGGGGTGGCGGTGGCGGCAACGTCGGCGGCGGCGGTGGCGGCGGCAGCGGCGGAAACGTGGAGTCCTCCGCTCTGACCGCGCCGACGTCCTCGTCGGCGGGTCCGAGTCCTACGGGAAACGATCCGGAGGGCACCACGACGAGCAGCAGCGCCGCCGACACGGAGGACGCCGTCGTCGAAGGCGCCGGAGGTGGCGGCGGCGGCGGCGGCGGCTCCAGAAGCCCCAGCACGACTTCCGCCTCGGTCAGTCCGCGGCCCCAGCCAAGTCAGCCGTCCCTGGGTGGTGTCTCGACGCCACCACCGACCCCCATAAGGGCGCCACCGCCGCCACCGAACACCGTGGGGGGCCTCGGACCGCCTGGCGAGAGGTAAGCTTCCAGCTTCGTTTGTATTTACGTCTTTAGGAAATATCTTCTTTCTCCTTCCTCGATTTTTCTCTCTCTCTCCTTTCCCTCGCTCCTCCGCGCCCCGGGTGCCTTATAAACTCCCGGACGATTTCAGCGAGCAAGCGGGTGCAAGCGCCGCTGAACACGTCGACCGGATGCTCGATACGCGCCATTAAACCACTCTTCGTGACGGCGTTGCCCCCGACGCCCACCGGTTAAGCTTCCTCCCCCGGTTGTCCCTCTTCTCTCCTCCTCCTCCTCCTCGTCTCTTCCGCGCGCCGTCGTCATTGCCACTCGTATAATCGCGATAATCGTCGCCTCGTTAAATTGCTAGCTTCCACGGCGGGCGACGGACATAACGTTCTACGAAGCTTTGTCTCGTGAAACTGGATAGCGTTTTGTGTTTACGATTCACATGTCGGATAGGAAGCGACGAAACGATAAGAAACCCAAAGTGCTCGCGACGGATAAAAAGGTTAACGGGGGTTTCTCTCGCGACGCGGTTACTGTCTCACTTCCGGCAGCAAATGGATTAAGTTGTCGGCCAAAGTTATCGGCTCTTACAAACATACTGATAGTACATAATTATTTTTTTTTAGGTCTCGATAGAAGTCAATCTCACGTTACCCATGAGAGCAAACAACTTTTTTTTACACATCTGAATTATGTATTTCAATTTTTTTTTACTTATTGTCCATCCACGGACGCGTCAGTTTGCACGAACATTCGCCAAAAACTGCTCGACGAGACGTCACCTCGAGATGTATCGGATGATGAACGTGTATGAGAAAATATTTGCGCGACATAAAATATTTGCGACGAGAGTCGGCCGCGCGTTGAAAGGAGGGGAGGAGGACCACCGGGGTCCGAGGAATCGGACCGTCAGAGACATAGTGCGTTGGTTTATAATCCCCGAGACGACGACGGTGAGCCGCGTTTCGCTCTTTCTCTCTGTGTCTCTTCCTCCCTCCGCGGATCGACGTGGCAGAAACAATGCCGAAAAAACGTAGTAGACACGCGTAATACGGCGAGAAGCACGTTAGACGCGGATGTTCGGCGGGAAGGAGAAAAAACAGCGCGGGGGTCGAGACGCGGCGGCCAAGAGGAGGCAGACCGGGGTCGAGGGAAAAGGTAAAGAAGAAACGACAGGAAGATACTCTCCTTCGCCGTCCCCGCAGTTGTAATTTATTTAAAACCGCTCGCCGTAAATATATCCCCATCATTTATTCAGAGGCACGGCGAAGCTCCTACTCGGAGAGGGGGAGGAAAGGAGAAAAGCACGAGGGGAAAGAGAGGGGGTGTAAGCTCTGCGTTCCTTCTTACCTTAGGCTCAACCTCTAGCTACCTTAAGAGTGGCTGGCTCCCGCACAGGGGCTGCTGCACAGGGGCGGATCTCCGCGTCACGGAGATGTATTTCGTCGTCCGGATAGATCGCTCTCTTGTCCCGCGGTTCTTTTTTCCCTCGGAAAGCCCGCGTAAAACAACTGATTGCGCGCCGCTTGTTAGCAGCAGAAGAGAGATTTACGCCTTTCTTTGCGCTGATGAAATAAATCTTTTTTTTTTTTTTTTTTTTGTTCTCTTACCTCCGTAAAGTTGAGATTCGAAGNTCTTACCTCCGTAAAGTTGAGATTCGAAGAGCGAGAGGGGTTTTTAACAACTCTGTGTTTTGTCACAACGTGAAATTGAGCGATGTCTGAAAAATGTGGCGTTCCCGTGATTTGTGTGTGTGTGCAAACCGCTTCGCGCGATAACCCCCGTCGCAAGCTATCTATCTTCAAAAATCGTTTCCCGTCACTTTTTTATTACACGCCTTAACTCCTCGCTATATCCGACGGAGCTTAAAAGCGTTTAATGTTATTGAATTTTAAATAAAGATTTTAATGGAGTCCTATTACGCGCGGGAAAACGCGACCTCGTCTATGTAATATCGTAGTTATCGACGTCGTTAATCTTATCGAAAAGCGATTGTGGAATGAAAAAAAACTGAGTAAAATGGAGCGGACGAAAAAAATAAGCGAAACGATTGCGACAGAAAAAAAAAAAAAAAAAAGATGAAATCGCGAACGAGAAAAATTTTGAAGTTTGTCGATTAAGGAGAATAAAAGGGGAAGGGGTTAACGTACGAACAAATCTAATGAAAATCTCGTTGTTTGTTTTTTCCCGAAAATCAATTGGTAATATTTTTTTTTTTCAATTGGTAATTTGCGTTTCAGCCCGTTACACCCCTTGTGTGACGTAACTCGACACTGTAACTCGGCGTCGCGAAGCGCGCGTCGATAAGGTAGCGCGTGCACTGATAAGCCGCGCTTCGTCCATCCCCGTGAGAGCAATTTCGATATCTGTGTACGTGTTTTATATGTATGTATGTACGTGCGATATATATATATATATATATGTGTGTATACATATATACACATGATATCTACATCGGGTGTGTTCAGAGGCAAACGCGCGCACGTAAGCAAGATGCACGGCAGACTACGCGGCTAATTGCCGCTAATTATCGCGCTTACCGCGGTTCGGCTCTTCCTCTCGCCGCTCGCGCGCGTCGCGGTTTCCCAACCCCTCCGGCGCCCGTTTTACCCCTCAGGCAACCACCTGAAATCCGCTACTCCGGTCTGCCCGACAAACTGCAGCGTCTTTCCTTTCCACCCTCCCCGCCACGCCGTAGAAGGTTGCCTCCTCTCCTTCGCTAACGATCTAAATACCGCCTGCCCTAACTCCTGCGCCCCCGCCCCTCACGTCCTTCTCCTTTCCTACTCCTTTCCGACTCCCGAGCTCGTTACATTAATTAAACAATATTTGCGATTAATATTTGAGATAATCATCAGCGCCTCAAAGCAGCCTCCGCCTTCTCTCGGAGGATGCGGAACATCGCGCGTGCTAATCGGATTAGCGCTTGCTAGACTCCTTCTCTCTCTCTATATATATCTATCTATATCTCTCTCTTTCACTCTCTATTTCTCTCTTTCTCCTTCTGTACTTCTCTTTCTCGACTTCTGTCTTTCTCTCGTTCTTCGTCCGTCTGCTCGGTGTGTTTGTCTCTCGCCGGTAGTTGGAATCGCGCGAAATTGCGACGTCCTTTTGGCGATAATCGCGCCGGTGCCTGAAATAGCGTTAATTCGCGGACGAGTTAACGACCGTTTCCGGCGTGGCGATTGAAATGTTTGTGTCTATGTGAATCAGTACACGCGTCACGTCTGCTGCTGCTATCTTTTAGCACTTTCAAATCCTATCACATACAAAACAAATGACAGTCTCTCTCAATTTTTTCCGTTTTTTTTTCACATGTGGTTGGTTTTTATCAAATTACTTTTCCTAATTTTCTATATTTCCTTCTATTTATATTCGATTTGTTTCTCGTTGATTTTTCAGCAGTACGGGATTAGGCGCGGGTTTCAGGCCAGTCGAACCGCCAACGTCCCTCTTCTTTTCGCCCCATCTGGCCGCCCAGTTTTCGCCGCCGCTCTTCGGCAACAAGGTCGTGAGCAGCGCGTCGACATCGTTAACGTCCACGACGCCGTCATTGTGGACCACCAGCGATCAACATCGGCCCGGTAGCCTGCAGGAGATGCTGTCCTGGTCGCCGACCGGCTGGCCCGGTTCTATTTGCGGTTGTTGCAAGCCCGGCACCGCCGGGGCCACCGATCTACATCGGAGCAACAGTCTGGCTGAGCTCCGGAGAAAAGCTCAGGAACACTCGACCGCGTCCGCTCTTCTCGGTGGCCTTGCCGGTTTCCCGGGTGGTCTACCGCTGCCTCTGCATCTGCCACTGCTGCCGCCTCTGCTCGGTCTCTCGAGGCGACCGGAGCACCATCATCATCATCACCTGCCCGGCGTGGTGCATCAAATACAACCCACCACCAAAGAGGATCCCTAGGATCGCCTTGGCAGATGCCAAGGTCGTTTCGTGATAGACGCGGCGTAAATCCCGAAGGAATGTCCCGCGCGTATCGCGTGGTTGCAAGTCGAGGTTTGAGAGCAGTCTAATGACATTGGTGAGTTTAGATTTCGATGCTGTCGATGTAGGGAGAGTAACTCTATTTCTGTGTGTTTATCAAATACGAAATACATTTATAAAAAATATTATTTATAAAAATAAATATATTGTCCGTAGTACAAATAGTCTCTCCATGTTTTTAAATTTTTTTACGAAGTTTCTTTGCAAATAGTAGATTGACTCGATATTGATTTTTCCACTTATAATAGTAGATTGACTCGATATTGATGTCACCACAGAAAGCATCGAAAACTAAATCACCGAGAGGTCACACTGTTCTTAATCCGTGCTTACAAGTGCTTTCCTTATGATAATCGTATGGTTTTTTAATCTTACATCGTATATAACTTTCACAACACAGAAGGACCTTTTTCCTTCATTTTTTTTTTTTTTTTTTTGGATGTTTGTGACATGGTTGAGGCCCTCCGGTAACAAGTGTTCGCAATTTTCAATTCTACAAAACGACGAATGGAATGGCGCCAACCAACTCTTGCCGCGAAGTGACAACTTCGCTTGAATTTCTCAAAGTCGAGAACTTGTGTTTTTCTTCACGGGAGTTGCAACGTGTTTACACAACTTTTCCGATTTTTTTTTTTTTGCAAGGAACGCGGAAAACACAACACTCACTCGCACGAGACTCATACTCGTGTTAATGCTCGTGTTAAAAATAAAATGCAATAAACTGTCGAATGATGAGCAACAGCAAATTATCAATTCACAACAGATCACCACTTTGTTCGTGTGTGTAAATCCGCGGGTGTAAATAGACGCGGGCGCGCGTGTATCACAATAATAATCTCTTCAGTCGTACTACACCGACAACTTTTTCTCACATAATTGTATAATCAACCCCGGTAAATAATACCTAAAATCTCCATTCTACGCGCTACTTTATTTATTATTGCCTTAACTCGTGATACGGTTTTATGTAATAATCGCCAACACTATTTCCACCGCCGATATGAAAAGCCACAGACGTAAGTTTCAGACGTGACACATTCGATTGTTGTTGACACAAACGATCCGATTATTTACGCTGAGAGAGAAAGAAAATAGAAATTCGTAAAAATTTTGATAAAAAGATGGAAGATTCTCTTTAGATTTCAATCTGACAAGTGAAATCTAAAGTGTATTGTAAGACGTCGCGCGCGATATATACGTTTGTACATAAAGAGAGAGAGAGAGAAAAAAAAAGAAACAAATAGAACGGCGGCGAGAAAGAATGGAAACGATACGCAAAAAAATTATTAGTGCGTCGAGGCGAATACGTTCGCGGCGCGCGCGAAAGTGTGTTTCTCGTTTCCTTCCTATTTACGCGAGTAAAAATGACGCGACGGACCAACACGTGCCTGATGCGCTGTATATTCGATTGCTCGATCAGTGCTCGAGCAACGCATTTGTTTATTGTAACATTCCTATACGAGCGGAAACTGAAACCGATATAATCTCGGGGAGAAGAGGGAGGAGGGAGGGGGAACGGATTGCGACAAAAAATTGCAAAGAAAAATAAATGTCGAGAGTTCGACTTCGATTGTGAATCGATTGTCGCGATTATTTCACCGAGATTATATACACGCAGGTTTTTTCATTTCCAGTTATTGCAAATAACTCGAACAAAAACAAAAACAAAACAAAAAAAACGTTGGGTTTTGAGTCACTGCTCTTATATGCCTTACAAACACAAAAAAAAAAAAACAAAAAAATGAAAAATAAAAAACTAACAAATCGTCGTCGAATCGGCCGACGACATTTCAACCGATTGCGGATCTTTGCCATGCGCGCGCGATTACCCGCGATCATCAAACAAAATTCAACGTTTCGACGCGGAGGGTAGAAAACGAGATTACAGAGAACGGATTTGGTTTGATGCTCGCGAGTACATTCGACGAGTTAACGATAATTCCGTTTATGTCGCAATTCCTCTGGATTTTCGCAAAGCGAGGAGGCGTGTAGAAACGAAGCGGACGTAGCTGTTTAGAGAAACCTGTATATTACCTCCCGATAAACAGTCAGTGCTAATCAAAGATAGTCTAATAAAAGGTATATATATATATATATATAATATAATTATAAGGTAGCGATTATATTGTGTAGTCAGAAATTGTGGTAGCGATATATCGAATAAACTTGTTCTCTCATGATTGGACTTGAGTTTTTTATTTTTTTTTTAATTTGCCCTGCGCTCACAGAGAGAAACTCTCTCTCTCATTCGGTTATCTCCTGTATTTCGTCCCGTCATCCGATTTCCCATCAATCTCCTGACGAATTTCGATTCCGGCACTAACTCCGTTTACCGTGTGTAATACGCCACCGCGAGATTGCGTGTGTCGCGCAGATATCGTTTCGACGCAATAAGTTCTCCATCCGCGCCAATGGCACACCCGGGATCGGGGAGCGCTTCATATAGACAAATAATTGTCCCACACACAACCACCGAGACCAGTGTGCGCGACTCGTCGAATAGAAAACCGGTAAAAACACGGGCGAAGAAGGTAGGAAGAAATAATGCAACACGGCGCGGAGGAGAAAAGGAGAAAAGAGTCAGCCTTCGCGGAGGCGCATCGCGGCGGAGGAGCGAGAGGAGAGAAAGGGCGCGTGGTGGCGGGGTCGGTAAAGGGGGAGGGAGTGTTGGCAATCAATGCTTCTCATAAGAAAAGCTCGCCCTCTCTTATGGGATCAACCCTCCTCGGGGGTACGCGGCGAGTCTTCTCGCGAGGTAAAAAGGAAGGAGCGCGAAAGCACGCGCAGGGATGAGAGTTTAGGAGAAGGAGAAAGAGGAGAGGGTGGCCACGGCGAGGAAGCGAGACGGAGAAGCGTGCGAGGAGGGTTGTTCCCGGCTCGACCAACCAGAGGCAAGACGCCATTGATCGGCACGTGGCTCCCGGTTGGTGCAACGAATTCCGCGCCAAGGGTGGAAGGGAGGCAGCTCCTCTGCTTCCGCGGCGGCGGTAGAAGGTGGTGGTGGCGATAGCAAAGACGGAGACGGAGGTGGTGGATAGAGAGAGGAAAGGCAACAGTCGCCCCGAGTGAAGAACGAGGGCGGCGAGCGGGGGATGAGAGCGGACGCGCGCGTTCTGCACACTCCGTTACACTTACTGGTAAACCGTATTAATCAACGACATCATGGTTTATCCCCCATTCCTCTCTGCCCCCCGCCCCGGCATCTACTTTCCTTAACCTCCTCTCTCACTTCCCGCATCTCCTTCTCCTCGCTTTTCCTCCTCCTTCGCCACCACCTCGGCGAACTCCATTGCGATCTATAGCCAACCGACCGCGCACCGACGTAACCTTACAGCACTCTTGCCCAACGTGAGATGGAAGGCGAGAGAGAAGACGGCGGCGGCGGCGGCGGCGGCGGCAGCGGCGGCGAAGAGAGAAGGGTGGAGGGTGAATCAAGGCGCCGGGCCACTTTGGTAGAGGCGATCGACGCTTAACGATGTCTCTCGATACCCATTACGTGGCTAGCCGGGATTCAACGAGCCGGTACCGTCGCTCTCCTCACGTCATTGTGTGTGCGGAGAGCGGACTCGCGGAAAAATCCGATTGATCCCGCCCGTACCCTATCCCGGTACGTTCTTTCCTCGTAACTTGTCGGAACGAGGTGGGCGGATTTTACGGATATACTCTCTTTCCTCCTTCTCTCCTCTCCCCCCCTCTCCCGTTCTTCCTCTCCCCTTTGCTACCGGTTAGCGGTCCTTTACAATTCAGACAACGCGCGCGGAGTATCCTTTTTACGGCGGATGCGATCCTCGCTGCGAATAAAATAGCTGTTGGCACGAAAAAGGACGAGGAAGATTCACCGGCGAAATGGCATTCTGACGGACGTATGAAATTGAATCTGTTACTTGAGAAAGTGGATCAAGCAGCATATTTAGAGAGAATATTTTGTAAAATATGTGAGAAAAAGTTTTATCCACTCTTCCTGTTTTTTGTTTCTAAATGTGAGAGCAATTACAATTATAAAATACGTTTAGGAGAGAGAAAGAAACAGAGAAAAGTACAGAAGAGAAAAAAAAAAGTACTTCTAACTAGATGTATAAAAATTCTAATTAACATACTTTTGCAATTAAGCCCGTCTTTGTGTGCTTGCTAGAAATTTTACAGAATATCAACTCGAGATTGTAATGCGAAGAAGAAGACAGAGAAAATCAAGATTCATCCCTTTCTCATTCTCCCCGCAATCAGTTTTCTCGATAAAATGCCACTTTGCTGCGCGAAACTGGAGCCAATCTCAATTCGGTGGGGGAAAGGGGGTCGACGGAGGTCGTTTTAATCGGGCCCGAGTAACTGATTTTCGAGTATCACGAGATTCGCGCTTGGCGGAAGAGAAGATGGTTGAGGCTGCCTGACGCCGGTAGACAGTGATTAATACCGCGACGTCGTCTGGCGTCTCTCTCCCGCGTCCTTCCATCCACTCTCGCCCTCTCCTCCCCCGATACGTGCGTAGGGGTCGTGCGCGAGAGGGCGTATTCACTCTCTCTCTCTCTCTCTCTCTCTCTCTCTTTCTCTCGTTCGCTCACTTTCTACCCCCCGTTGCCTCTGCGCCGCGCGCCGCCCCCGAAGCGCACTCCGCGGTAAAAGGTTTTACGAAATTCATTGTCAGGCAATTTGCATGTCAAAGACGCTGAGAAACGTGGCGCTCCCCAGGACCCGCCACCACCAACAGCAGCAGCAGCAGCAGCAGCAGCAGCTACGCTATTCGCGTCTGTACTCGAGTATCTGTCTCTAGTCTTCTCGAGCTTTGCCGCGCCACCGCGTCGCCACTTTCAGTCTGATGGAATTAGGGGAAAAATAAGGCCACTTTGCGCGCTCGACGCCGCGAACGAAAGCAATTGTTTATTAGATGGCTCGATCTTTCACCTCCGGTGTCATATCGAGTTCCGACGTTAACAATACGTCTCTGACGTATTCCAAGTATTGAAAACTTGCTTGTTGTTGTGAAAAAAAAAAAAAAAAAAAAACAGACAAGACTATTAAATTACAATTAAAAAAGATATCAAATGCATTCATAAATACCGAAATGGAAATGTCAGTTTCGATTTAGAATACAACAAAGTAAAAAACAAACAAAAAAACACTCGTACTAGATTTACCTCTGTAATACGTTGAACAGTTTTATATACTTCCGTCTATATTATTCTTTAACAAGAAGTAGAACATTAAAACTGATGTTTCAATTTTCATCTTAAAAGCTCCTCGGCATTTTTCTCAACTTTTCCGCAAGACTCTCTCTTGTTCTTTCTCGCAAGAAAACGTTTTAACATGATTAAAGCTCCAAAATGAAAAAAAAAAAAAAAAAAAAAAAAAAAAAACACAAGCGGAAAGTCCTTCGTGTACAAAAAAGAAGTCTTTCTTTAATAAATAAATATATTTTTCTCTCGCAGTTTCGTTTTCTTTTATCAATGTTCAAATCTTCAACCCAAATATTCTTCTCATTATAATACGTGTCGCACTTTCTTCGCGAAAGATGAGAGAGCAAGATAAAGGAACAGGCTCGAAATTGCAAGCAAGTATTGACGTTTACGCAATTTGCGACGCTAATAGCGTACACGTCGTTACGAAACGAGGGATACGAAGACTCCGCCGGACAAAGAGGAAAAACTTGGGAGGAAAAGAGAGAGGATCCCCTCCGGTTTCCTCCCCCGATATAACGCCTTATAAAGAATAAAGCCACGGGCGAGGGCGAGCGGAGAAAATTTATTGAGGTTGTCTGGCGAAACTAAGGGGATCAGAAGCCGCAATGATTTTCAATTTTCGAATCCACTTCGCGGCCGTTCCTTCGTTCTCCATCGAACTCAACGTTGAGATCGGATCGACATATCTGGTTCACGTGTAACGTATACAGGATAGACATAATCCCGCCCGCGGGAGAAATCCCTACCTCTCCCGTTTTATTCTACGACGCGGATTTCGCCGGATGTGTTGTTAGAACGTGCGGGCCCGGTACGCGTATCGGTATCGCTTTCGACCGCCATCGATCTCATTTATCCCGTTTGCTCTTTAATTTATTTTCCACACCAGCGGAAACATCCTCGCAACCGTGATCCCAAATTGAACAGCTAGAGATTTTCTGAGTTTTCATTTCTTATTTTTCGCCAATATTTCTCTCGAACGACGGGAATTAACTTGACGATCGGAGGATACGTATCGAGGTGCGTCGATTTTGCTGAAAGAACAACACGCGCAACGAAGCTGAAAATAGAGAGCGAGAAATTCTAAACGGTCGTTTTCGATCGACGCGGCACGTGGCCGGTCGGCGCGCCGTGAAAGGCGAAGACGCGAAAATGATCGGGGGAGAGAACGCGGCGCGGTGGCGGTCCCTAATGGAATTATAAATTCAATACCGGACGGGCGTAGCGCACCTGAGTCTGTTTCCTGGTATCCGGGTAGATTTTCTCGCTTTCTGGGTGGCTCGTACGTGTACGGGATGCACACACAAACCTGTGTGTGTATCCGTGCAAATGTAGGCAGCAACCCGCGCGTGTATCGCCGCCGCCACCGCCGCCGTAATTGCCATCCTAATAATTGTCACGGTGTATACGCGCGCATACCCGGTCCGCGCTCCTGCCCGTATGTCCTGCGCCGTGTGTTTCCGGGTAAATGATGGCCCGCTATCCAATCTACGTTCATCGAACGAAACCGCGTAACCGGCCGAAGATTAGTCGCGCGTACATGAGAACATGTGCGCGCGTGTTTGTGCGCTTTCGCATGAATCACTCGCGGCGTGTTTCTAATTGCGGATATTATTACCGGGGACGCGAGAGATCTATATATCGAACAGTCCGAACGCGCGAGCTGATCGTCGATGAAAGTAATAAAGAGAGAGAGAGAGAGAGAAAGATGTGTGTTGAAAGGATCTACTATTTTATCGCGTTCCCGATAAATTCTCTCTCTTTCTCTCTCTCCAATTTTACATGCGTGAAAAAAACGAAAAATCGGTTTTTTTTTTCTACTCGCGGATTTTGTGCAAAAATCCAATTGCCACGTTGTCTTTGTACGTTGATTTTCGAATGATTTTGCGCAGTTCGAGAAAATTTGTTTCGCTACGTGTTCTTGTTGCCA